TCACGAAATAATTACTCAATCGCGGTATGTAAATTTATTATGCTGCTGAACCTCTCAAAATTGATATGAATGGTGGACAAGTTTTACATCAAATAGAGTGGTTATCAAATTTGAAAACTTTATAACTAGATTTATATAGCAGAAAGGTACTTGGTTGATCAATTTTTTTATCAGATTTAACAGGTTATCAGATTTCACAAGATCAGTTTTAGGAGGTTCAACAATAATTATATTGTAAATAGCAGTATACTAATACAAAGTTTATTTACATAGGCAAAGCTTCTGGTCGACAAAAATGCTCATCGCCCAAAGGCACCTGTCGACTTTGAAGAACAGGTGTTTTACGGACAAGTTTTATTTTATTTTATGCATGAATATGAGGGTGAAATTTCCATGCTTGCATATGTGCAATGGGTAAGAAATCCAGAAAATTATGGAAATAATATACTATATTTTCGAAACTTTGGTGAATTTGGAATTATTAATGTTACTACTATTGATCGTCGTGTGGGATTTTTTAAATTGAAACGAATAAATCTATCATAATAGATAGAGAGAATCGGGTTACATTTAGATAAAGTTTTAAATATTTTGAGGCTTTATTTTTTCGATGTATTTTGTAACAAAGATAAAACTTAAAAGGGATCCTCGGATATCCTAGCTGAATAATCGTCATGTATACTTTCATGATTATTTCACTTATTTTCTTGTCTTAAAATATTTGGACATGTTTTCTATTTCTTAATGATACCCTTGCAATCCTGAGAATATAATTCGCCCGAATTTTAGATCGAACTATAGCATCAAATTTTGTCTGGTGATGTTAAAGAAATACTTTTACAACACAGCCAACTTTTCATAAATATATATTGTTAGGACGCATTTGTAAACATGAATTTTGGAATGATTATGATATGCACTTATAAAATACATATAATGTATCATAACTTTATTAATAAAAATGCCCGAGGGTAACAAAAAAAAAAAAACAAATAATGCTGAATAATAAAGTTCTAAATCGGAAAATTTTCGGAACATTTTTCAAAAATCCATTTTTTTATAAATTTTTAAATCCTGATCATTTTCGGGTTATAGTTATTTTAAAAAAACTTTAGGAATATTTCCGAGACAATATCAACATCGTTATATTAATTTATATTATGAAAATTTAGGTTCGGAATACGATCGGGATGGGTTCAACCTGTCCGGAACAAAATCTGAATATATCTGTAAAAAATTTTTTATAGGGGTTTCGTCATTGACGAATTGATGAAACTCATGTGTTTCGTCATTGACGAATTGACGAAACTATATAGTTTGTCAGGTCACATGTGTTTCTTCAAGCATCTTTAGTGGAGAAGCCGTCCACATTTGCAATTTCTAGTTACTATATTAACTTAAACCCGATTCGAACTCCACTTTCCGTTTCCCTTGTTTCCCTTATACTACGTTTCTAATTATAGTTACCAAATTAACTTTTTAATTGTTACTTCATTTTATGTAGATCATTACTACATCGTTATTACTTCATTTACGGGTAATGTATATTGAAAAAAGTAATATTTAATAATCAATATGAAGTAATCTGAATAATAAATTTGAAGAATTTCTAAAGTGGTGAAATAAAGTTAGTCATATGCTTTTAGGTATACGACTTAATTTTTTTAAATACCACGATCTAAATATGAATTATAACAGATTTCTAGTTTATTTCATGTTATTATTTAAATTGAATTTTTATTTGCTTATTTATTTAAATAGAATAACACAAAAATTGTTAAATATATAATAAAAGTGCAAATTGTTAAATTTTATATCTTAATTTATATAAGATTCTAGACAATATTAACAAATTTGTGAAATTGGATTTATTTAAATTTGTAAAATGCATTCTAAATTTAGTGACTAAAAAATATATGTTGCCATTTAATGTAAATTTTATTATATATAATTAACAATAATATACAAAGGTTTTGTATCGTTATTGTCAATTATTTCTTAAATTGTTTTATATACCCATAAATCTAATTTCGTAAATCTGTAACTAATAATAAAAGATCTTTACAAAATATAAAACTAAAATATTATTCTACAAAATTTTTAGAAATAACAATTACCATTTATAATAATTAACGAAGCTTATAAATAGTTCCTTTATTTCTTGAAGTTCTCTCTTAGAAATAATTAGTTCAAGACACAATTAGACTGCTATAACAAATTTTGCCTACCCGTTCATATGGCTATAATTAGAAAGTAAAAAGACAACTATAGTTACAAAGATATCTCATATCTGACGAATAATATATAATCTAAATTTATTTTTCATATGTTTCAATAAGTTCCAACTGATTTTAATATATGAAAAATAAACCCAGACCAACCCTCTAACGGCATCATCTTTTGATTAAGTTTAACTATCCTTCTAAGTTCATTTTAATTCTTTGTTGAAATTTTATATTCCATATTATTATTAAGTTTCTCATTATTAAAAATTTACCAGTAAAGTGCCAAAATATATGCTATGTAGTATTCTCAAAAAGAGCATGCATAATATCTACAGAAAATGATGACAGAAAGCTAATTAAACATAATTCAAATAAAGCACTATGTCTATTTACACCTGTCTTATATTCTATCTTATATTGTTTACTTTTACTTTTGTTTTCTAATGCTTTAATGTCTTGAAGATAACTGATATGAGATCGTATTGGTAATTTGTTTGGATTATATATTATACTATTATATCCTTTTGGTAGTGAAATCAGAAAATATACATAATAGGCTGTTTCAGAATAAGTTCTATGAAAGTAGCAAGAGTGGTATTTGCTATAAGCATTGTGGCCAGAGATACATATAACCTTGAACAAGTCAGGAATATTTCTAGACTATAATAATATATAACCTCACAATTCAAATGTCTCTTGTGATAATACATCATAACATAATATAAATTCAAATATCTCTTGTGATAATATATCATAACATGATATACCTGCTATTAAAAGTTTTTTTATTAGTTCATTTTGTTATAAATTTAAGCTTATATTTTTACTAATATTAAAACCTATAGTAGACCTATACATGAGTATCTAAATTATTGGTTTTAATAAATAATTCTTTTGACAAATAGTCTTGAATTATTTTTTCATAGTTGATGAAATTAATTTTCATAGATGGTGAAATTACTGGCGAAATGATTTGAATTTCTTAATTAAAATACATTAATAGCATAATTATTTGTAAAGCTAATATAAAAATATGGTAATAGTGAAATTTTTGGCAAAATTACCTTTTTTTAAAATAATTTAGACACCCATGTTGAGTAGACCTCAGTATAGTACATTATTAAGAGTTTATATCATATAAGATTTGAAATAACAAGCAATTTAAATTTTAAAAAAACTACATTTAATTAAAGACCTTGTAATTTGTACTGGGTCTAGTATATAAAGATCAACTATTATAGTTTACAAGATATAATTTTTATTATTCATAATATAAGTTTAATATAGATAATTAAATTACTTTCAAGACATTTTAATTCATTTACAAGTGGCTTTAAGAAACTATTAAAGTCTTTAGATAATTTTGGACCAGGAATAATTGCAATTATCATCAAATTTTTCTTCTTTACTCTTTGATCTAGAGGTAGATTTGCATTTAAAAGTAAAATGATCTAGCAATCACTTTACTTTTTTTTAAATAATTAATAACTGTCTGTGGATGCAATCAAAGCAACTTTACAAGAATCTATAAATAAACCTTATACAACTAAGGACTTATATCTGTTACTATCAAAAACATCTCCAATTATACTATTTTTAGATATATATTCTTTTCTTAAGGTGTATTCATGTCAATATTTGAGAGTTTTTGTATGTAATAGATCCTTGTATTCATAAACTATCAATTATAAAAAAATTTGCAGCAGATTTTTGGGCTTTTTTTAGTATTTGTCTAGACACATATTGTGGTTTACCACATTTAGGACATATTTTACAATTGATATTTTTTTACTATATACACAACAAGAGTTCCAACACATATCTACAAGCTTTGGCTCAAAAGAGATTAAAGTTTTAAAAGTTGTTTGAAGTTTATGTAAAGCACTTCTGAAATTTTAAATATCTTCAAAATTTTATTAAATGCTTGATTCAACAAAGAGTATTTATTTTTAACATATAGAAGACGAAGTTTCTGAATTAAATTATCTAATAAGTTTTAAGAAAGAAAGAAAAAACAATAAGTTCAAAAAATTTTGATTAAAACTTTATTAATAACTGTATTTAGAAATAATAGATTTACTATTATTATTTTCTCCTCCTAATTCAAATTCTTGTACTTCTAATTCAAATTCTTGTTCATCCAGTTCAGATATTTGTTTATCTAATTCAAATTCTTATTATCTGGTTCAAACTCCAATATATTGTTTTCTAAATCAAACTCTAATTCTAATAAGTTACTATTTTTTAAAGTATTAGAAGCCATAAAAAGTGAAGACTCCTGCTTCTCTATTTTTCAAGATTATCCAACCCAAATTCATTCTTATCAAAATTATTCAATTCCCACTCATTATCTGACAAATTGAAAACTAATGCTAAAGGTGAAGTCTTAAATATATAATTTGACATTTCTGGTCTATCATAAGGTTGTATATTATCATTGTATAGATTTAAGTCTTGTATATTAATTAATAGAATTGGTAGTATATTTTTAAGGTCCTTTCTTATTGTCGATACCTCGTTCAAGTAGAGACACTTACATATTTTCCAACATTGCTAAATACACTTTAACAAAATATACAAACATACAACACTAGTCTTCCCATTATTGTGGTTGATGAGTTATTATAAAAACAAGCAATCATAAAATAAATCAAATATCATATTTTGTAGATTAAAGTACCTGCATAATACAATTTTTTTTATATATAAAAAATTAAATATTGCAATTAATATATATTGCATCAGTATTTAAGAAAGAAATTTTTACTATTTGGCATGAATGGTATTTTAAACTACAAAATACAGTAGGTTATATACATATAGTAGGTTATATACATATATATAATTATAAATTACCTAATTAGCTTTTAATCACCAACTATAAATACCATTAAATCCTTTTTTTTAAAAAATAAATTTTACAAAAAATACTTATTTGCTTGCAAAAATGTCTAGTTTGAACAATTCGAATAATATAAATAATCATTCTAAAAACAAATATAATAATAATAACAAAAATGCAGATGCAAACCAAAATATTGTACTATTCCTGCAACTATTATCAAATCCAACTATTTTACAGTAAGCGCTTGCAACTATTACTCAAAGCTCCCAATCTAGTGCAGTACAAACTTCTTCTGAGTCTACACAAGCCCTTTTTGTATTATCAAATACTATTATAGGAGTTGTTAATTTATCAGTAAGGCTTTATTGTTTATTATCTTAAAATTTAATAAATTTTTATATTGTTATTTTAGTTTCTATATAGGTCAGCACAAAACCCAATTACTAAAAAAGAGTAGAAACAATGAAAAAATACTAAGAAACCAGAAGAAGACTAGAAAAACTTCTTAAATAACTAAAAATTATTATCTAACTATATAAATATATTTTAATATGCAGAGAAATTTGCATAACAGATTAGTGGCTAGCTGCCAGAAAAGCAAATATGCATCTAAACAAGCACCAGAAAAGATTAGAAAAATTATCAATGAAGTATGTATATTCATATTCATTATCACTATAATTATTTATTTTATAACTATACTAAAATCAATAATTATATTCGATTTAGTTTAAATATGATTTTTTAACTTTTTCTGTTTGGTTAAAGATTTTGTTTTGCAGAAAATAGCCAAAAATATTATCAGAAATTGACACATTATATTTATATTTTAATATTTTAATTTATATATTGATATGTTAATATTAAAGTAATTTTAGTTGAAACTGAACATAAGAACAAAATAAAAGAAGCTTATGATTAGAGTTGCTGATGAAACTCAATTGCGCTAGTAAACCTGTTAACTATCTAAAATCTGATTGGCTATTTCACTTAATAACCAATCAAATTTTAGATAATTATCAGTTTCACCAGTACAATTTAGTTTTACTAGCAACTCTACTCGTGATCAAGGTATCGCTCCTCCCCTAAATATAAAAATGCTATTTCTCCTACTTCAAGGTTTAAAAACAAAGGTGTAGTCCAATCGCCAGTAACAAATCCTGATATAACTGAAATTGATGCTAGGTAAATCGCATCTTATAAAAATAATTTTTTGAGACAAAATAGTATTACTTCTATTAACGATAATATTCCTGATGATGATATACCTGAATCATCTACTATTATCTTCTGCACTATAAGATTTTCAAATTTTTTCATTCCAAACCAATTATCAGCAAATTTTAATGCAATTTAAGTTGATAGTTCTGAAGAGAACAATGATAATGATGTATCTGAACCATCTACTTCAAGATCAAGAAGCTCCAACATAGTTAAAATCGATAATTCTAAAGCTGATAACAATGTATCTGGCCTATCTACTCCTATTCAATATGCAACAAGATCTTTACAATCTTCAAGATTTTCAACCCAGTTATCAGCAACAAGTTCTACTACAACTGAGGTTGATAGTTTTGTTAATGTATT